TATAGCTTAGTAGTTTGAGAGCACACTCTTATTTCAATTGAAATCTGAATTTGGATCTCAATTTAGGTACAGCTTATTGGTTCTGTAACTATGGGCTGATTACCTCTCCATACCTGACTTTCTCATTACTAAATTAGTATGATATTCATAATATCTTTGAGAATTAAATGGTTCATGTGTGTGCATCCTATAGCCCACTGAGCAAATACTCAGTAAGTACTCAGTATGTGTTAATTTACATTATCATTTCCTTCTGCATCTTTTTTCCTTGGGCATATCTTTTCTGTTCTCTGTAATTCTTGCTGGTTTACTTGCTGTCCTTTTCCTTTAATATTATAGGAGGTGCTGTGGGCAAGATGGAGACGGGGAGCGGGCATAATTCCTATTTTCATGTGAACTGAATTTACATACTAATTTTGTTTCTTTGTTACTTGCTTTTAAGGAGATTTGAAGCATTACTTCAAACTGGAAAAAGTCCCACTTGTGAATTACTGTTTGACTGGGGCACTACAAATTGCACAGTTGGTGATCTTGTGGATCTTTTGGTCCAAAATGAGTTTTTTGCCCCTGCAAGTCTTTTGCTACCAGGTAAACTGAGTGTGACTAGGGCATCAGCAATTAGGGTGGAAAGACAAGTAGCATAAATAGGAACATTTCTTCTTCTTTACGTTTTTCTCATAGTAGATGAACCTGACATTTGAGAGTCCTTTTCATTCTTTCAACTCTCCCCGACTCTTTAACAAGCATCCCAGACATAGGACACTGCAGATTTCCTGCTAAGGTGATGGAAGCTTCTTGACTGAATCTGTCCCACCATGAAAGTAAGGTAGTTTTGTGCCAATAGGCAGTTTAGGATAGAAATAAGTTTTGGGTTTGAGTTTGGTTTTTTTTTTCTTTCTTTATTTGTTTTTTGAGGTCTTTCCTTTTTTTTCACCCTCAACTTCCATCCCAATGAGACTCTGTAATCACGATTGCCTTGCATTGTATTTTGGTGGATTAGTGTCTAGTTGCCTTCCTCATAACCTTACTGTTTCCATTTGATGCCATTTACACCAGTGTTTCTCACTCTTCAGTGTGCATAAAAATCACCTGGAGTTCTTGTTAATAATAATATAATATAAAATAATATAATAATAATATAATAGAGCCCAGGTAGCTCCTGGGCTCTATTATAGATATTGTTATCAGAATTCTAGAATTGGGCTGAAGGTCTATGTTTTTAAACAAGTACTTCAGTGCTTCTGCTGCAAGTGGCTCATGGGCCACTTTTTGAAAACACTGCCTTGCCTTCTCTACCTTTTATCAAAACCATATTCTTACTAGGTAGCTTCTTATGTCTGCTGTGAGAATGTAAAGGTAATGTGGAAACTGGAGTGATATTAAATGAACTGAGCTCCTAGTTTAAAGTTTTCACAAACACTTTTTCTTATGGAAGGGCAACTTGTATCTTATTTCATTTGGCAGATGCTGTTCCCCAAACTGTTAATATACTACCTTCTAAAGAACCTGTAACAGTTCAGCAAAAACAAGTGCCTCTCTATGGCAAGGAGAAGACATTTGTGATACCTGTGCAGAATCTTGAACAAAACTATATGACACCTGACTCCTCAAGTCCAGAAAGTTTAGGAGTTAGTGACACACGTAAGTAACATTTGCAGTGCCTTCTACTAGCGGTTTGCCATTAAGATTATCACTGCTATTAAACAATTTTCTCCTTTCGTTTATGTACGTTGGCAACAGCTCTTTTGTGTGTTTTTTTCCTCCTGAGTAGAGGCAATGAGTAAATATTTATATAACATAAAAGGATTATTTTATAAAGAAAATAAGTGACTAAAGTTTTGGGTGGAGGGCCACCAAAGAGGATTCTCAAGATAATGATTAAAATTTTAATTAAAAAATTATTTTGCTCTCTTCCAATGTGTCTAATCCAAAGTAGTAAATATTTAAGTATAAAACACTTAAATTGAAAAAATACTGAAATTATTAAAACCAATTTCTTTTTTATTGAAACACTTTTTCCCTTTATTGATATTATAGGTTTTCACAGTTTTTCATTTTATGAATTGAAGAATGTCACAAATAACTTTGATGAACGACCCATTTCTATCGGTGGTAACAAAATAGGAGAGGGAGGATTTGGAGTTGTATATAAAGGCTATGTAAACAACAGAACTGTAGCAGTGAAGAAGCTTGCAGCAGTAAGTTATATTTTTAGGAATAAAAATATTTAAAGGAAGAGTTGCTTTCTAGTGTGCCATATAATAAGTTTTAAATTAAACTTTAGGAAGTATATTATCATTTCAGTGTATATTTTTTTTAAGTAAACATCATTCTAAGCTGGTAATCTGAAACATTTAAAAATCTGTTGAAAGATATGAGCTCTATACCTACAAAAATATAGTTATGCACACATACATACACATATATATATAATTATGGGCAATTCATAAAATAAAGTTAAGAAGTCCTGCTTTACATGGTACTTCATGAATAATCAAGATTAAAATGGTAAGATACTAAGAAAATTTTGTAACATTAACTTTCTTATACTACTTTTCTCATAAAAATAAAACAAAATATACATTAAGAAAAAAAGACTGAACATTTTCTTATCTAGTTCCTTTGTTCCCATTTCTAGTATGGTGTTCACCTTTTACTTATTGATTCATTATAGTCAAAATCTGTTGTTATGTTCTAAAAATAACAATATAATACATATTTATAAGGTAAAGATAGTCACACTTTGTTACATATGCTGCATATACTTTTACAGGTTTTGTTTTGTTTGCCTTCAAATTAGCTTATGTTTTCTGCTACACATAATTTTTTCAAAATGTTTATGAGGTCTCATTATTTCATTTTGTTCCCAATATAAGGCTTTTTCCTTCCACTAACCAACCATAGAACCTTGAGCAAGTCACCAATATTTTCAGTTTTCAGTTCTATAAAAGGGAGAGATAACACCTTACTGTTTTTAAGGAAAGCAGGGTCAGCCAGCTGATCTCCTGAGCCCTATTCTAGCTTTAGGATCCTTTGGACTATTGTATTATATTATATTGCATATCTTTTTATTTTTTTAGATGGTCGACATTAGCATTGATGAACTGAAACAACAGTTTGATCAAGAAATAAAAGTAATGGCAAAGTAAGTAATTTGGCAGTGTGGTATAATAAAAAAGAGTGAGACATGGAGTAAGGGACCTGGTTTCTTACCCAGAGTATGCCATGCACTGGTGATGTTTTCAAATATATAAAATTAAAATAAAAGGTTTAGGTTAGAAGAATTGAAAGAACTTTGACTCTACAAGTCTATGATGACATATTCCCTATGCCAGTAGATTAAATAGCAGTTATTTTAAATCAGCAAAGTAACATGGAATTTTACCGGTTTTCCATTGTCGTGTTTCCTGCCCACAGAATTCATTAAAGATAAATTGTAGAGATACAGAATTTTAAAAAGTATACAATAATAGGCCCTTAGATATGTTAACACCCATAAACCAGGCAAGTGTTACATGCAAGAATACTTGGAAGGCATTGACCCAGTGTGCCTAAAAAGTGTTGGGCGTCATCAGGAAGCGTAGAAGAAACAAATCAGGAAATTCATTCTAATGATTATAGTGACTGACACTTGAGTGTATACAATATGCCAGACACTGTGCAATGTATTTTAGGTACATTGTCTCATTTAAGCCTCATAGTAGTTGTTAGAACAGGACACACACTTTTTTTTCTCCACTGAGATTAGAAACGATAAAAAACTTACCCAAGGCCACATAGCCAATAAATATTAGAGCTGGGTTTCAAATCCAGATCTGTCTGATCCTAAAGCTTGAGCTTTTGATCTGAATACTAGTAGAGTTTATCAATTTACACTCATTGGACCCATTGCTATGAATCACCAATTCTAGTTGCTTAAACTCAAGAAATAAATAGTAGACTGGAATTAATTCATTCACAGTAAAAATAATGCACACTGTTAAAAAAAATTAAAGTTTTTTCACAATTTATTCTTCCCACCCCCATCCCCACTCTCCCATCCTAAAAGTAATTTGTTCAAAGTAGATTATCTGGGAAATACAGACAAATATTTTTAAATAATAAAAATAATCTCTTAAATATATCACTCAGAAATAACCATTGCTAATATTTGATGTACTTGCTTCATGATGTGTGTATAGCATTTTTTCCATGTCATTAAAAGTAATTTAATATTTAAATAAATATATGAATGCAATTCTGCTTATTTCATCAGGATAAAGTCCTAGAAGAATTACTAGTTCAGAATCCATGAACTTTTTAAAGACTTAACAAGTATGTCCAAATGGTCTTATAGATAAGTTATGACAATACTCCTTACCAGCAATGTATTGCAATATATTACAGCTTCAAACTTCACTGCTACCTCACTACCATTGTATAATATTACTGTTTTTTAATAAGTGCCAATCTTCAGACCTTACTAGCAGAATGACCTTGGCCATGTTTCTTAGTTCTATTCATTAGTTTTCTCATCCATAAAATGGGATAATAATAGTTCTTACTTCATTTCGTTATTGTGAGGATTAAATAAAACAAAGCAGGTAAATCACCACAGTGTCTTGTGTATGGTATAAACTCAGCAAATACTATGTACTCATTTTTAAAATGTGCCAGTTTGATGGAAAATGGAGCACTTATCATTTTAATTTACACTTGTAAAATAATTTTGAGGATAAACTGTGATTTAAATCAAAATGAGATGCCAGGTTATAGATCATTCTGAATGAACAAAATGATTAAGCACTTGGATGGAATACTTATCATGTTCTAAGTATATTTCTAGGCTCTCATATATTTGCTCTTTTAATTCTCATAGCACCCATGTTACATAATAGGTATATTCCACATTTCGCAGATAAAGTTGCTGAGGCTCAGTAAGTTGTTAATTTGCTATAGGTCACATATCCAGGAGGTGGCAGAGCTAGACTTTAAATGTAGGACTTTGAACTCTGAGCCCAGTTTTCTTTCTACTTTACCACAGAGGCCTGCGATTTTGTTATATTTCAGCTCTCTTGAATTTTATTACTCTCAAGTATATAAAGAAACTCAATTTAAGTTAGAAATAATCAGATTAAAGATAATTAAATATCAAAAATGTAAATTAAATGTGATTAAAGATTACATATCGGTAAATAGGTGCTTTGGATGTGTTAGAGAATTCTTGAAAGGGTTAACATACAAGTTTCAATTTCTTGAAATCTTGTTCGTGCTATCACTGAAAATTGTGCTAAACAAAGATAAACACCAGCCTAGTCCTTTACCAAACTATCACAAGTTACAATGGTCTTAATTTTTGTACTTTTACTCTAAAATAGAGATTTTGCTTCTAATGTTGATCAGTATTGACTAAAAGGGGAACTGTTTGCAGAAAATTGTCAACAGCTATAATTAACATATATAAACACATACCATGTTATAATGATATATAGCATTTATTATTTTCTTGCTTTTTTTTTCTGTTAAAGCTTTGAACTAAATAACTTTCAATCTACAGCTGAATATATGTATGTATCATAATAATTTTGAGTGGAAAATTATTTGTCACAGGTGCCAACATGAAAACTTAGTAGAACTACTTGGTTTCTCAAGTGATGGAGATGACCTCTGCTTAGTTTGTGTTTACATGCCTAATGGTTCATTGCTAGACAGACTGTCTTGCTTGGTAAGATGTTTGTTCATCAGATTTTTGGCTTCCTATTTCTTTGTTGGATACTAATATTCACTTTATGACAGGATAATTTAAACCACATTAATTTTAATATTTTTCCTGCTCTATGAAAATTATATAGTTGATATGTAAAAAACTGAGATTGCCATTCTGTTAGATGATAATCTAAGAGATAAAATTATCAGTCAAGGCTAAACTCATATTTTTATTGTCAAATGAGAAATGCTAACCTCCATTTGATTATATTTAGATGACTTTTTAACAACTTTTTAAAAATCGGAGTCCTAAATTCTTAATGATATAATATTTTTAGTAGTAGCTTAGAAAATTTTTCCATTATATATTTCTATAGATATTTTTATCCTCCTTTTTTTTAATTGGTTTGTTTTTTACTTCATAAGGATGATACTCCACCACTTCCTTGGCACATAAGATGCAGGATTGCTCAGGGTGCAGCTAATGGCATCAGTTTTTTACATGAAAATCATCAAATTCATAGAGATATTAAAAGGTAAATGCTGCTGTTAAAAAGCTTTTGGAAAACCATCCTTAAAGAATAATTTGCTGTTATTCTTTCTAATCACTATTCACATGCGTGTCTTAACCTAGAGCACTCCAAGATTACAGATGTCCTTTTTCTCCACAGTGCTCTGCTTTATTTAGACCCTCACTATCTCTCATTTACTCTATTACAGACTCTCTTGATCAGCCTTTAACCAATCTGTACCAATTCACATTTATTCACTACTACATTGCCAAGTTACATGGTCTTAAAAATCAAGCCTGATAACCTCAGTTCTCTACTTTGAAAACTTTAGATGTTGCTCACAGGATACAGTTCAAATTCCCTCCAGGTACCATGACCAGTTTTGTGAAATTGGTTGTATGTACTTATGTTTTCATCATTACATACATGTTGCTCCATTTGCCTGAAATGTCTTTCTCACATTTAACCACCAACTTCTAATAATCCTTCAAGACTAAGTACATATTTCCTTGGAATTTTTCCAGTTCTTCCAGTCATGTGGTTGTCCTCTCTACATTTGATACCTAATATCACTATTATGGAGTATTTACTGGGTTTTTAAAATTATTCATGTACCTTTGTCACAGACAAGATTTGAAGAGTCCCCCCATGCCCAGCACTGAGTCTAAACAGTGTAATACATAGGGAGTTCTCAATAAGTTTTATGGAATGAAAATATGAATGTATGAGTGAATGCACATAATGAATGAAGAAAGATCTTTTAGCTATATTCTTTCCTCTTCAAAAGGTTTTCAGATGATACAAAAAAATAAAGAAATGAATAATTGAGATACTTGGGTTGGAATTTGTTTTTAAATGAACTTAGAAATGTTAGGAAAGCTATTGACTGGTGCTTTAGGAGATTTTAAGGGAAATTACCCTGTAATACATTATTTGTGAAATAATGAAAATATCTCTCACTAATGTGAACAATATTACTTCATTTTTATTCTCCTAAAATTTTTCCTCAAGAAACAAAAAGAGAAAGAAGACAATTATTTCTCTTGAGCTTTAATCTGATTTATTTAAATCTATTTAAATCTAGATTTATTTACACAAATTTCAAGCTTTTATGACATATATTATAAAATGGTATACTCTGTAAATACACACATGTGTACATTCATACACCTAAGGAACCATTTGATATGCTTGAAAAGAAAAACATTTTATTCTTCAAACTTTACATTTTTTTTCAGTGCAAATATCTTGCTAGATGAAGACTTTACAGCCAAAATATCTGACTTTGGGCTTGCACGGGCTTCTGAGAAGTTTGCCCAGACAGTCATGACTAGCAGAATTGTGGGAACAACAGCTTATATGGCACCTGAAGCTTTGCGAGGAGAAATAACGCCCAAATCTGACATCTACAGCTTTGGCGTAGTAAGTTTCATATATTATAATTGGTAACAATAATTCTGAAAGTTATCGTGAAATTGAAGTAGAATATGTTGAATATACCTGTCTTGCATAGCTCTCGTATATAGAGATGTAAATCTAACTATGCACAATGAACATACAATGCAATATAGATATGACTTACTATTGAATTGTACACTTGAAAATTACTGGATTTCATTAACCAATGTCACCATAATAGAAAGAAAAAAAGAAAAAAAGAAAGAAAGAAAGAAAGATAGTTAAATGAGAGTTATAAAAATTTCTCCAAATTTGTAAAACTTTCAAATTGATTTCTGAAATTACTATAACAAATGATTTTTTTCACCACACTATTCTCATGAATTAGTATGAAATTTAAATTAATGCATAAAATAAATATATCATACAGTATGCACTTTAGTGACATTTTTAAAATGAAATATTTTTCAAGGAAATGCGCTTTGGCATTTTCTGATCTACCATTCTCTTCCTGGTAACTTTTAAGATGGAGTGAGAAGTGAGTAAGAACGATTGGAGAAATTGGGTACTTCTTTATCTTATTTTTTCCTATGTGTTTTATATATGGAAATTTAACTTAATAGCACTGTGAAGTTAAGGCACAGTGTTGTAGGATATGGTTAAGGTTTAGAAAATAATATTATCCTAAGAGCCAGAAAAAATTATTCTTGCGAAGAATCCCCTGCAAGGCAGAAAAAGGAGTGTCCAGAACACACATAAGTGGACCTGATTGTTTAGTAAGTTGCCAATAGAAAAGAACTGTTTGTGGAGATGGGTGGGATCCAAGGTAGATATGAAGGAAGAGGTGGTAAGAAATGACCACAGCTTGTGTTCTTTCAGTTTTCATGCCTAAAAGACATGTGCAGTGCATGGAAATGATTAATCAGATTTCATAATCAAGATTATAGTCTTTCTAGGTTCTATATGTTGCCTTGAGTTTACATTAATGGATTTGTCTTTTGTCTTCATAGGTTTTACTAGAAATAATAACTGGGCTTCCAGCTGTGGATGAACACCGCGAACCTCAGTTGTTGGTAATCGAAAGATTCATTTTTTCCAGTCTTTTTCTCTTTGCACTTATAATCTAAATTTATATGGGTAAATCTGGCAACTAGAAGTGTCAGACTTTCTACTGGCAATTACATAGTAGCATATGGAAAGAGCATCAAATATTTCTAATTTCAGCTCTGCTATGAAGTATTTGTGAAGCTTGGAAAAGTCACATATATATTCAATGTTCTAATTTCTTTATGGGTAGAATCAGAATAGAATTATATGATTTCTGTGGTCATCTCCAGTATATTTTTATTTTGTTACTTTCAGGGTGGTTACTAACCGCCTTTTCAGCTCAAGGAGGAAAAATAACATGGCTACTATTCAAATTTATATCAAAATGTAATTGCTACTAAAATTCTCTTTCTGTTTCTTTTACAGAGTATTTTATTTACAAAGTTATTATAGAAAATGTCGACTATGTGTTATATTATGCATTCATTGACAATTACATAAATAGACTAACTGAATGCTAAAGCTATAGGAAAATTATGCCATGCCCCTTTTTTCCTACGTAGTAAATTTTAAGAATTTGGAAAGTCTATTTATAAAATTAAAGATTTACAGAAATACCTGGCATCATGTATAAGTTTTTCTTAAAATTAGTTAAATAACTATACTGTCTTTATTCTAATTTATGTGTTTGAATGGGACAAACAAGTGTGACAAATTCAGACAATATACCAGATTATTTTCCTAGAATGAGGATTAGAAAGTCAAAATGTATATTACCCTTCCCTTTTTGGGAAGTCATCCTCAACTCAGATTGCCAATGTCCAATGGTCAACAAGATGATGACATTGATACTGAGACTTCATAGGAATGATCCTTCCTAGCACGATAAGACCATCCTATCTGACCAAAGGTTGGTCATTAGTCCATCCTTCAGATTGATTTATGATCAAAAGAAGGAATTGTGGTTGAAAAAAGGGATTCTATGGAAAGTAACCTCACAGGGTGATCTGATCATAAATTCCTTGCTGGGCAGGTCATGGTGAGTAGTCACACCCAGGCATATAATTTCGTTATCGAAAGGTTTATTTTTGCCTTAAGGAAGCCCTGTCCATTGTTTCTGTGTATCTAAGTTAACACACCTTTGAAATAAGCTTAACCACCCTCAATAGAGCACATAATTTTGTTAAATCTTCAGTAATCTAGTCCTTGCTTTGCTTTTTCCCACTTTCATGTAATCTTCCTTATGTCCCCCCCTTAATTTCAAATACATAAAAGAAGCTACAAAACTGTTATTCTCTGGAGCATGTGAGATCTTGCTCCCCAGCATATGTCATCAATTTGTCTCAAATAAACTCTTACAAAAATTTTTTTAAAGAAAAAAGAAAATCAAAAGGTATATTTACTCAAGGGCTTTGTACCATATTCTTAAGAAAAGGCATGAATACACTATCTATTCTAGTATGGCTGCAGATGTCCCTTATAAAACTACATTATAAAGCTTTCCATGGTATATTGGATATGTAGTAATGCAATATTTCATGCTAGATAATACTTCACATTAAAGTATATTTATAGAATATAATATTATTGGGAAAAGTTGTTTTTATAATATTGGATTTTTGCAGTGGCATACAGTGAAATTTTGTCTTCAGCAAAGAAATTAAATTTTCTGTCTCATCGGTGGCAGGAGGCCTGAAAAGAAGCCTGGGCTGGTGATACAGTTTTTGAGACATTAGTGTACAGACATAGATAAAGCTTTGGGCGTGGATTAAATTATACAAAGAAAGTGTGTAGATTAAAAATTAGGCTAGGCTAGGCTAGGCTAGGCTAGGCTAGGCTAGGCTAGGCAGGACGGGAGGGAGGGAAGGAAGGAGTAGGGAGGGAGGGAGGGAGGGA